AAAATGACCAGTACACATGAGAAAATCAGAAATTCATGTATAGAGAACAATTGTGAATGTTTTCCCTCTTTGAAAAACCCTATATCCCTCATGGACCCTTATTAATGTCAGATTTCTCTGTATCCAAGTGAACCAGACACATCTATGTACTCAATGGTAATGTACAAAATGAGAGAAAACATGAGACTTTTGTTTCAGAGTTGGGGTATCTCACTCAGAATGTGTACTAGTTACTTGTAAGTTGCTGTGATAATATACATCAACCAAAAACAAAATATCAAATTCTTCCACATCCGCCCCCCCCCCAAAAAAAACCAGTCTGGGTCTTCACACCAACATCTCACTGGTTCCAATTCTGTCATAGTTCTTTTGCTTTCACTGTGATAAACTACCATGACCAGAAGCAAACTAAGGATGAACATTTATTGTGGCTTATGGTTCCAGAGACCAAGTTCAAAATGGTAAGGAGGGAAGACCAGACAGGGATGTTGGCAAAAGTCCAAAGATGAAAGACCAAATCATCAGTAAATGCAGGAAGCACAGAGAAAACTACATGGGGGCAAGGGTGTATACTGTCAAAACCCTCCCTCAGTGACATACTTGCAACAAATTTGCACCCCCTAATCCTCTCCAAACAGTGCCATCAACTGCACACTGACTGTTCAAATACACGAGCCCATGGGAGACCTTCCTCATTCAAACCATCACATTCCCTACTTTGAACCCACAGGATTGTGACCATATCATAATGCTAAGTGTATTTAGTGCAACATAAACAGAATTCATAATCTTTAACAATCTCAACCCTGTTCAAAATTCTAAAGTCTACTATGAGACTCAGGGATTCTCTTTAATGTAAATCCAAAAGATTTTCTGTATAAAATCAAAAGAGACAAATTACATAGCAACATAAACAGAATTCATAATCTTTAACAATCTCAACCCTGTTCAAAATTCTAAAGTCTACTATGAGACTCAGGGATTCTCTTTAATGTAAATCCAAAAGATTTTCTGTATAAAATCAAAAGAGACAAATTACATACTTCCAATGTACAGATACATCATGGCCCTAGTATTTCCATCACCATCATGGGGTTCCACCTGCACCCAAGACATAACTTTCACAGCTTCACACAATGGCTTTTCAGGGCATCTTGTCCTGACAGGACCTTCTTTATGCAGGAACTCTTCTATTACATGCTGCCATGTTTTAGCATCTCTGACTGCAGTGGAAGAATCAATGATGTACTCACTCGTATATTTTATGACTCCAAAACTAGCATTTCCACACTTTTTTTGTTTTCATCTTTGCAATTCTCACTGGCTTAAGATGAAATCTTAAAATATATATAGTTTGCATTTCCCTGATGGTGAAGGATTCTGTACATTTAAAAACTTCACACACAAGTATTGTCTTTGCATTATTTCCATCCTTTCCAGTCCACCAGCAACTCCTGCCACGTCCCCTCCATTCCCTCTCACATTCTTGGGATACGTACTCATACATTTATATAAAAATATATATAAAGCCATATACACACATATGTATATGTGTAAATGAACTGAATCCATTCGGTGGTGTTCATCTGTACATGTACTTAGGACTGTCCACTTGTAATTAAGCTACGTCACAGAGAGCTACTCCCTGGAGAAAGATGATTCTTCTGTTCTCAGCATTCATAGATTTCCTGTAGCTTTTGACACTGAACAGATATTTCATCTTTTGAGAATTCCCTGTTCAGTTACACACCCCATTCTATAACTCAGTTCTTCCTATTCTTACTTTTTTTTTTGAGTTCCTTGTTTATGCCAGACACTAACCTTCGATCAGACAGATTTGTGGTGAAGATTATTTCCCATTCTCTAGGCTGCCTCTATTCTAAAATGATAGTGGACTTTGCTGGACTAAAGCTTTCTAGTTTCATACATGTCCAGATATCAGCCGTTCCTTATGTACAAATTGACAAATGTATCAAGAAGGAAGTCAAAGAAACAAAACCATTTACACTGCTCTCAAATAAAGTATCATGAAAAAAAAAAAGCAGAACTAGGAGGTGAAACTCTTGAGTATAATTAAATCTTTAAGGCACTGGAGAAAAAATTTAAAATGATAAGAATAGACTGAAAGACTTTTCATACTCATGAATTCATAGGATTTATACTGTGGAGGTGGCCATCCTATCAAAAGCAATCTACAAATTCAATGAATCCCATTCCACACTTCCAATAGGATTAATCACAAAAATTGAAAAATGATCTGAAAGATGATAATAAACCACAAATAACACAGTATATCCAAGATTATCAAGAAGGAAAATTGCATCTTCATCCTGCATTTCATTTCATCAGGCATCTTCATCCTGCATTTCAACTTATACAACACAGCTATTTTTATAAACATAGTGCCATATCAGCATAAAAAAGACACATTCATACGTGGAAACATCGAACACAAACAATGACTCGGATGTAAAGTCCATGCACATATGGCCCTGTGATTTTTGAAGAAGAGGCCAAAAATAAGCATTGAAGAAACAACAAAATCTACAATGAACGGGGCTCTCACACTGCATAGCTACATGTGGAGGAAGGAAACTATATCTCAATTGCAAGTGCATCATGGAACTCAAAACGTGGTACTTAATTCTGATAGAAGACAGAGTAGGGAATACATATGACCTTATTGATGGGGAGGGGCCTTCCTCAGGAGAACCCAATACTGAAGACACTAAAATCTCACACATATGTGTTGGGAGACCTTTGTTGTGCAAAAGTCGAAGCTTCTTCACACCGGATAGCTCATGTAGCTCGGGATGTGCTACGGGCTCCTTTACATAACAAAGTGCTTCCTGGCATCTTTCCTGCCTCTCCGTTTGAGGTGTCTGCCATGAATGCCCTAAACATTAA